TCGCTCCATCTCGCTCGCACTCTCTCTCGCACCCGTTGTCCTTACGGGAAAATCGACCCGCGCGGACCGCGATATCCCGCGAACCGGCGGGCGGATCGCGAAATCCTCCCTTATCCGGCGCCTCGGGGTAGAGAGGGATCCCAGTGCGGAATCTCAGGGTCACACGGCCTCCCGTTCACGAGATCCGCTGATACGTGAGTCAGTGAGTGAGTCAATCAACGTGAAGTCTGCTTTATTAGTATAGATAAATAATGTATATAAAGGAATGGAAATTTTCAAAAATGCACCAATCCACATAACTGAAGGGTCATTCACTTTTTGACAAGCTTCACGACGCATTATCACCCATGACAACCTGAAGGACTTCGTACAGTGTATCAGTCTTGGACATGGGACAACTCGCCTGAGACGAGTTTAGTGTTAGAACTTTTCTGAGTTTATTTCCTTAAAATGCAATCAAATCTCAAGGAAAGAAAGCCTGAACTCGGTTTAAGTATCGAGAGATATACCAGCACTTTAGATAACATTAAATACATAAGGAACACTAAGTTCAGCGATCTTAACTTAGTTTTCCTGCTAACGGATATAAGTTTGAAAAATTACTTAGTTAGGCGCGTTTAAAGCTCAGATTCCTAATTTTTTTTTTTTTTAAATTTTAAGGCATTTTATTTTCATTTTTTCCACGGAGATTATCGTCCTGAAGCAACTCCTGTCATTTCATCAAGTATTGGTGCGTCTCCGAATGTGCAATTTCGGCTTGGCCAGATGACAATGCTCTCGATAATATCCGGAAAATACGGACCGGTGGCGGTTCTCATAATAATTTTGACATGTGCAGCCGTCACGCATAGCTTTAAAATTTTGATTCTGTACCCGACACCTGTTTTTAGTCATCAACGGCCTATGCTAGCATTGACTGAAAGATTGATCAAAGATGGCCACGAATTGTATGTCGTCACTCCGAACCCAGTTTTGGTGAGTAAAATTATATTTCCTCACAAAATTGTAGAGATGAATGATGGGTGATTCGTGCCTTTTTTCATATATTCGTCGCTTCTCCGACGTTAGGTCGTATCTCAATTTCCGCGTGAACCTTGTTTTATACATAAATGCATGCTTCCTGGGGCTCATGTGAAAACTGAGATAAGCCTTTACGTCAAAAAAGCGACGTATTTTCACGATGAGTGCCGCGCATGATATCTAACTGACTTACTGGATTTAAGAATTAAGTTTGTCTCATTCCAGAACCGACTCAATCCAATGAATGAATGAATAAATAAACGAAAGGAGCCGTCCATCTCTAGCAAAAAAAAGAGGAACGCCGCATTTGCCTTGAGAAGATGCCTGATTTATTTTTTTTAAAAAACCGTATTTCCTGAGAAAATTATGAATATTTTCCTTCACAAATTCAGAGAATTTTCTTCGATTGATTTGATCTTAAATATTGGAAAATTTTCAAGGAAACCTTTCATGACTCTCAAAAATTGATGGTTTGTCGGAGGAAATTTTTCAACATTCGAATGTACTACACTTTAATCACGCAGAAAACATTTCCTTCCTGTGGACTAATTATTGAAATGGATTGACAAAGCGATAGACATAGAAGTCAAAGGGAAAATGAAGCTCTAATATTGGTTGAAATGGGTGGTTCACTAAAAAAAAAAAACACATTGGATCTAGAGTCCAGACTCTTGAAAACATTCACAAGAAAAAGGTCCCTTGATTCAATCAGATTTAAGCTTAAATCAAAAAGAAATTCGCTCAAATTAAGAGGATTGGTTCTTGATTTAAGCTTAAATATGATTGAATCACGAGTCTTTTTTCTTGTCGATGTTTTTAAGAGTCTGGACTCTGGATCCAATGTGTTTTTTTCCAGTGTTGTTAAAGGCCAAGGGGGAAACTGATATACTATGTATGGGGTCCCTCGTGGGTTGCTGTTAGTTTGTCTACAGCTTACCTCCTTTGTCTATTGCAAACACCCACTCCCATTCATAGAATCGCTCGATTTTCTCTTTGCCTCCTTTGTCTATAGCTATGTTTAATGCTCAGCAGCCCGTCATAAGATATATACAATAGTAACAAATGAAACAGCGGGTAACAAGGCTAATTCTAACGTAAATATCGACAAAAAGTTTCGGCTGAAAATTCAGCTTTCCGTAGTTGGATAAAAACAATAAAAAATTGTAAAAATCTAAGAACGTAGAACTTGGCTGTACCTTTCAAAGGGAGAAAAATGTTGTTATTAATAACATTTAAGTTAACAAATAAAGTTAACGACATTTTCCTCGTTTTGAAAGGTCCAGCCAAGTAGTACGTTTTTAGATTTTTACAATTTTTTACTGTTTTTATCCAACTGATGAAGACTGAATCTTCAGCCGAAACGTTTTGGTTGTATTTACGCAAAAATTAGCTTTGTTACCCGCTGTTTAATTTGATTCTTTGTCTATAGCCTTATCTATAAAATTCAATAATGGACTACTAGACAAGGTACGAATTTAAGCATTCTGATACATGATTGTTAACCAGAATTTCACGTAGAACACGATTCGCACAACGAAAATTACTAAAACCATCTCCTAACGGAGATATTAACATTTTTATTTCACATTGGTCCCGAGGAATTTGAACTGCCCGCTCACAAGAAACTCATAAAGCTCTACGTGAGTCAAATCTCGCACTACAACGGTTTCAGCAAGCTTCTCAATCGAGCAATGTTCATTTCCCACCATGTGTTTTTCAAACTATTAGTAATTTGCTATAGCTGAGCCAAAGTGTCAAGATTGAGGTTGCTAGATTTTTTATCGTAGAGACGTTCATGATAATGTTTAGCGCGCGATGTTAATCACGTAGAGGAATGAGTTTTCATGAGCGAGCGGTTTCAATTCACGCGCGAAGAATCATTAAATATCTTCGGAAGGAGTTGATTTCGGTAATTTTCGTTGTGCGCATCGTGTTTTACGAGAAATTCTGGTGAAGACATATGTATCAGATTGCTGAAATTCGTACCTTGTCTAGTGGTCCATTAGCCCAAACGGCCAAAAACGTTGCGTACTAGTATGTTTCCCCGTTTCGGGAATCATCAAATCCCTGTGGTATTACATATGTATTTTCCATTCAAGAACCTATTTTTCTCACTGCTGTAGGAACTGAAGAATCACGTCAACTATACCTGCGCAGACACTTCATTTGCGTGGGAGCAAAGGGAGGACGACAAGAATATAGCCAGCCTCTATCACCGAGAAGTTTCTAAGTGGCAAGTACCGAAAATGCCCGTGGCCATGCTGAAAGTCGTGAGGAATCAGTTACAAAGCCAGCCGTTTTTTGACCTCAAAAAGTAAGAACACAATAATTTTTTATGCCTCTTACAGAAATGTTAAGCACGACACACAAGGACCTCATCAATAAGAGAGATCGGACATGAATTTCTTCACTAAAACTGCAAATTTAGATGTTTATTTTGTTGAATTTCAAATTTTGACGGGTGGTTCTCAGAGAACCTTTTATGAGAAAACCAATGAGGCCATTCTTAAGACCTCAAAATTTTGTAAAAACTGAGTTATGAACTTTTAAAGTTCTCAAATTTTGTCCGGCCTCTCCCATTGACTCGATCCACTGTTCGACAGTGCAACTCCCAAACAACGTATCACGGTTTGTGACGTTGCAGACTTCTTATCAAATTGTATTTTTTTTAAAGGAAACGACTCAAATACGATGCATTAAACCTTCCATAAATTTTCTACTCTGAGGGAGAAATATTCTGAAAAAACTTCAAGAAAATATTGATTTGTTCTCCTGAAAGAAAATTGAATGAGAGCAAAGATTTTAAAACACCGCAAACGAGTTACGTGCTTTGGGATTTTCACCGACGATGTGGTTTACTGGCTTAGGTATATTGTAATTAGGGGAGGTGTGAGGAGATCCTTAACATGGTACCATTAGGAAGATGGTTTCAATGAATTTCGAGAGGAATTCAACAGAATTGACGTAACGTAAATTTGAAGCAAACTTACTGACATATAGCGTCCACTTAAGATTCGCCTTCAAATTCGAAACATAGGCAACAAACATATCGATAATGACTATCCTCGAAAAATTACCCCGTATCTGGCTCCATAAAATTTACCAAACCAATAGACTATGTGTACACTTACCCACATCCACTTAAGATTCGCCTTCAAATTTGCCGCACAGGCAATAAATGTACCAGAGAGGGCAAATATTTATTTCGGTTGAAGGACATTTCGACAAAGATTTTTTGTCCGCACACCGCACGCTTCTAGCAGTTTATGTCCACGCGTTTTTTCGGCAGGGAAGCTCGTGCCGTAGTACCTTGATTTATTTTGCGAGGAAAGCTTCGTACTCTCAAAGGACGCCTATCATTCTTAAAATGTTGGAGCGCCTTCAATTTCGTTTGATACTGTGCAACACCTCTGTTGTGGAATAGTTGCTTGAGGCGCCGTGGCACACTGCGGTGCGGCGGGCGGCTGGCCAACTCCCAACGCGCATTGGCGCCTACAAACCTAAGGGGATACTCAAAGCGTTGCACAGTGCGTGAAGTATCCCCTTAGGTTGTAGGTGTTAGTGCGCGTTTTCCGCCGCCGCGGTAGCACTAGCACACCGCTCCGCTCAGTGTATGCTCTAATATTTAAAATCGCGGAGTCGGCGTTTTTCAGCTCTTGATTTTGAAATTTGTGCACACTCTGCATGGATTTGCCTTTTTTTACATTGATGAAAAAAATATGTATTTAAGGAAAATATAAAATGTGTTTCGTAAATATTCAAAATTCTCTGTAAAGACGTTAATAGCCTGTGACGCTGAATGTCTTGAAATATCCTAACTAACTAACTTCTTGGTTTTTTCCCCATTTTTATTAATTTTTGTATAGTTTCTTTCAACACAAATCTTATTTTCCGCGTGGACGTAAACTACTGGACAAGACAGGTGCGCGGACAAAAAATCGTTGACGGAATGTCCTGAAACCTTTATTTCTTCGAAAAGCACACATTTATAACACACTTTAAACTTCGTTGTAACCGATAAACAATGTTGTGAAAATTTTGAAGTTTGCACCGGGTAAAAACAGATCATAATCCGGCCAAGGTGTTAATTTTTTCCGACAATTCTCATTCGGTTTGTTGATTACATACACATTAGATTGCTCTCTTGATTGATCGAAATTTTTATCAGTAATTTATATTCCTAAAATCTGCTTTCAGGCACCTGGAATCAGAAAAAATAAAAATCGACGTTGTCATTGCTCAATTTTTTCTACTCCCATATCTATCTCCAATGGCGCGCATCTTAGCAGAGGATGCCCCGATTGTATCATTGTCAACATTTCTCATGGACATTTTTACAGAGGACTACTTAGGCAGTAAAGTTCATCTGTCTTATTTGCCCTCTATATTTAATCATTACACGGATAAAATGAACATATGGCAGAAGATTGAGAACTGGTTCTCTCATCTCTACATTCAATCGAGTGTAGAGACACTGATAACGGATTCTGCGCGGGAATTTTTCCGCGATAATTATGGTCGAAGAGGCGAAAGTCTGGTGGACACTTGGTGGGAAAAAGTTTGCCTCACTTTGAGCATTTCCAACTCGTTATATTACTATCCAAGGCTAATGGGTCCCAACGTCATTGAAACAGGACCTCTGCATATCAAACCTCCAGAACAACTACCAAAGGTAGGTGCATTTGCTTCATTAAAATTTTAAATTGTGCAAAAGCACGTATCTGGAATTGAGAAGCTGTGGACTAATGGAAAACTTGCATGCAATTTTTATATTGCTTCATCTGAAAAAGCCTAAAGAGCTGATTTCACAGATTTTTATAATTTTTTCTGATATTGGAAATAGTACAAAAACAGATTTAAACGTGAGAAAATGCACCGCCTAGTGACGTCATCTGGCGGCATTTCCCATTTTTTTTTTTAGATTAGATCATTTTGCCGTATCTTCTTCGATAATTGTTCAATTCATGAATCAAGGGTATCCTCGTGTTCAGTTCACTCGGTAGTTTCTAAAACACGAAATTCATCAAATTTCAGATACCTGCAAATTCTCTATGTTACTCGACCATAAAATTATCATCGTCATTTCTTGAGACCTCTTTTGGTTCTTCTTCCTGTTGGAGGAATATTCTGTGAAAATTCCAAGTAAATATAAGTTCCGAGCAAAAGTTCCAAGCAATACTGCCGTGCTAAGGAAAAACGCCTTATTAACCTTCAGCCGTTGCCTAATTCTTTTTGGTAATTCACGAATTTTCGAGAAAACGTGTAAATATTATTGAGATAATTTTGTTTGTAATTTCACATAAGTTCTTGAAAATTTCAAGGAAAAATATTCATAGCTTTCCTCAAAAATAAACATTTTAAAGGAGGCAATTTTCAAAAAGAAAATAATTAAAAATATCTATTTATTAATTTTTTTCTTTAAATATTTCAAGAACTTGCAAGACTGGTTGGACGGGGCGGAGAGAGGTGTGATCTACTTTAGTTTTGGGAGCAACATGAAAAGCTCAGCTTTACCACCAGACGTACTACAGAATTTCCTAAAATTCTTTCTAGAACTACCACCTGGCTACCGAGTGCTCTGGAAATGGGAGCTCGACGGAAAAATTCCAGGACAGTCAGATAACATTTTGAGCCAAAAATGGATGCCTCAACACAGCGTGCTGGGTAAGTACAATAATTGAAAGAAACTACAAAAGAAACTATTTAATATGATTTATTTTCCCCAATGCAGACCCTGCGAGACTTTCTTGATAGCACTGCCAAATATCTTTAGCTGTTCTAGAGGAGAAACTTGATTAATTATGAAGTTTTTAAAATTAAAAACGACCCAAAAACAGATGCTACAACAGCTTGGTGGTTGGTGAGTCTGGTTGATATTCGATTCTTTAAATACTGATATTTTCTTTATTACTTATTACTTATATTTTCATCGTACATTATTTTACTCACACTCTGCCGTGCTAAGGAAAAACGCCGTATGAACATTCGAGAGTTGCCAAATCTCCCTCGATAAAACAAGTATTTTTGACAAAATTCATTGATATTTTTCTCGAAACTTTCAGATATTTTAGAAAAATTTTTTATCGGATATGTATCGGAAGAAACCTAGCAACGTCTGGAGGCACATACGGCGTTTTTCCTTAACACGGCAGCACTGTCGCTAATTTCGTCGTTTTTCTGACGTAAACGCGTATCTCAATTTCCACGTGAGTTCTGTTTCACATACAAATTAATCATTTCCGTGGTTTATGCGGAAATCGAGATACGCTCTTACGCCAGAGGAGCGAAGATCTGTCGTAAGGGCATTCTAAAATTCTGCGATGAAAACCAAAAGTCAGTGACAAAAAGTTCCGAAAATGATTTGATTTTTTTGCTCCCTTTTTTCAGCTCATCCGAAAGTGAGGTTATTCATCACACAAGGCGGACTTCAGAGCTTCCAAGAAGCAGTTCATTTTGGGGTCCCCACTCTCGCCATCCCGTGGTTTGTGGATCAGAATTGTGTCGCGGCTAAAATGATCGATTTGAAGGTTGGGAATAAATTGTTGCCGCAAGATATTCACTTCTTTGAGAAAATCAAAATTGGTATCGAAACTGTGTTATACGATGAAAGGTAAGAGTAAGCTTCTTCATGTTTGGCAAGAGTAAATAGACGGGCTCTTTCACTTTCATCTAGTGAAAACATTCCGGTGTTAATCTCAAATATTGGAATAAAATTCAGAGTACTATCGAGAGCAAAAATTTCATTCTTGCCGCACAGTTAAATTTGAATAAAATTTTCTTCTAAGAGCACCCCTTGGAATTTAAAATGTGACGAAATAAACATCAAAAGTTGCACTTTTAGTAAAACAAATTCACGTCTGACCTCTCCAATTGACTGTGCGCTGGTTAAAAACTTACGTTGTGACTCAATTTAAAAAAAGGATCTTTGTCTATATGGATATCGGTGTTATCGAAAGTGGATTTTCGTGTGTATCATACATAATAATTTTAAAATTTCTAAAGATATACCCATATCCGTAGTTAACGTGTTACATATCAACAAAACTACATAACACGCGAAAAAAATTAGGAATAGACCGCACTGGAAAAAAACACTTTGGATCCAGGGTCCAGACTCTTGATAACATTGACAAGAAAAAATACTCTTGATTCAATCGGATTTTTGCTTGAATCAAAACGAAATCCGCTTAAATTAGGAGGCTTGGTTCTTGATTTAAGCTAGATTCTGATTGAATCAAGAGTACTTTTTCTTGTCGATGTTTTTAAGAGTCTGGATTCTAGATCCAATGTGTTTTTTTTTCCAGTGTGTGTAGACAATTAATAGGATTCAGATGAAATTAGCAGATGTTGGTTTTTAATTTTTTGTGAATTTTCCGTAGCTATCTGAAGAACATGCGGCGACTTTCAGCCATATCCCATGATTTCACTTCTCAAGCCATGGACAAAACGGTGTTCTGGATAGAGCACGTTGCTCGTCATGGAGGTGCATCTCATTTGAGACCAGCCACTGCTGATGCGAGTCTCTTTGAATACTTCTGCCTGGACATTATATCTGTAATCTTAGTGTCACTTTTCGTTATTCTATTTGCATTAGTATATATTTTCAAATTTATGAACTCGTATGTATCCATAAAATTCGGCGAAAAAATAAAAAAAGCTTAAGTATGGTGTCTCATATTGAAGTCACACATGATATTCTACCCGAACTACTACTGAGTTATATCTGTGTACCGTATCAAATGAAAAATTGTTTGGTATTGCCTGGATAACCTTTCACGGATTGAGATGTGCACGGACTATATTTACAGTCGTTCCTTAATCAGCTACTTTCATCAGGGAGCTCCATATCGACGGTGTAAGTCGGCAATCACATAACTCGGTTTGCGGCGGCGTCGCAGACTTTCTGTCATTCTTTTTTTTTAAACGGACAACTACTCAACGACAATTCTTTAAAACTGCTGTGATTTTTCTCCTCTAAGCGAAGATAATTCTGCAAAAACTTCAAGGAATGATGTCAATTTGTTCTCACTGAAAAAAATGTTTCCTACATACAAGGCGGAGCCGTCTTAGACCAAGTAAACTGGATACTTAAAAAGTATCGACAAGAAACGGAGGTTTGAACTAAGACAACGGAGTTACCTTGGATCAAGAAATAGCGTTTTCTCAATCCAACGCTCCACGTCCCCTTAAAAGAAGAAAGCGTTTACTTAAAAAAAGGAAACATTCCATGCCGTGAAAATATTTCCTAAATTTAAGAAATTATCGTTGGTTTGAAGTGAGTATCCGTCGTATTGATCTAGGTAAACTGTTTACTTAGAAATAGGAAACAGTTGCGTAACTCCCACGTGCATTTACTGGCTTCAAGTTAATGGTTTGTTTAAAATTAGTAAACGGCGTGTTGAACGGGAATGTGCGTTTATTGTATTGAAACCAACTGTTGTCTTAGAATTAGTAAACGGGGACGCCCGGCATGAATGGATGTTGCCTAACTCTCAGGCGTGTTTACTTATTTCTAGCCAATTGTTGTTTTAAATTTAGTAAATAGTCACTGCAGGTATGCACACTGCACCCTAATCATATGTATTATTATTGATCAATAATAGGAAAAAATGGTTTAATTTATCGAATTTTTGATGAAAAAAAATTTCAATCGTATATCTGCAAGTATCGAAGACTCGACATGGCAAGTACCGACTTGCAAATTTTGGCCTACCTATCGGGATTTGAACCTGGGACCTACAGTTTACGAACCTAACACCCTACCTACTTAGCCATCGGGGCTTATGTCTACGTCGGCCGAATTTACACTATATAAGTCATTGACTTAGGATCTCACCATTATTGTGATGGTGAATATGCGTGAGACCTGATGGGTTAAGATTTTTTGAACCCGAAAAGATGAATTTGGAGCAAAAAAGAAATACGCGTGTTACTGTTGTCACTTTTTTTACGTTTATTTTTGTTTCTTTCCCATCTTATATTAATTTTTAATCTCTTTAAAAAGAATTTAAAGCAATGCGCCTTTTTTAAAATTTTCTCTCTTCATTTTTTCTTGAAGAATCGCTGACTTTAAAAAAATAAGAATAAAGAATGAAACTCTTCGAAAATGTTTGTAACACAATAACTTTTTATTTTTGATGACTGAGATTGTTACATTTTTTAAATATTACTAGTTCTATTCAATTCGATTATAATATTCAAGACTATTCTGGACCATTTATTAGACTTTTCTATTTCAATTAGAATATTAATAAGTAGTTCTATTCAATAGTTCTAATTAATTCACATCGGGCGGAAAAGGAAGAATGTGAGCACTATAAAAGAAACATTAATAGTTCTAATTCCTTACTTTAAAAAATAAGATTTGAAAAACAAGCTTTGAGATTTTCTGGATTAAGGCATCTTTTTCCGTGGACAGTCACAATTTATTCATAAAAAAAGTTCAATCTTCGATTACTCTTATATTTTACTCAGTTTACATAATCACACGCGTGACGTTCTAATATTTTATTGTATAGCTGCACTTCATTTTCGTTACACTCTCTAAAGTTGATAGGAAGGTGGTAAAGAAGTGCTGGATCCACCCTATTTTGCAGGGAAACAAGGTAAAAAGGGTCAAATGCTTCAATTACGGTAAAAAATGTTGAGCTCTTATGAGTATCCGTACAAGACTGTGGAGGGAGGGGGGGGGCGGAAAGATCGGTCCCGACAGGCCCTTCGACCCAAAATTTCCCCGGACACAAATGAATCAAAGTTTTAAGTATCAACAATTTTGCACTCGCAAATTCCTTTCGAAAATACAGAAAAAACTGTATTTTGTTTTCGATCCACTCCATTGTTGCGTTCATAAATCAAAGGGACCCGGAAAATCGATATTGAACAGTGTAAACACTACGTAGCAGCAGAGTTATTCGATTATCTTCATCTGTCAACTTGGTGGGTGACATGCTGAAAAGTATGATTCTCTCCACATTTTTTAATTTCTTCCTCGGCCCTTAGCATAAGCATGCATTTTATTTGACCATTTTTAATTCTATCTGCGAGGGATCTTTCATTCGTCAGGACAGGAAAAGTAAGGAAGAAAATAAGTAAAAAAAATTGCGATTTTTTAGTGTGAGGAAATACATTGTCCGATGAAACTGAACTGAGGCAATGCAAAAAACTCCCGGCTTCAATCTACTTAAGTATTCAAGTCCTCTTTATGAGGCCCCCTTCATTTAAAAATAAAAATTAAAACTTCAAATACACAGTGCCGATCTATTTAAAACAACGCAAATATTTCCTCTTCCTCTCCTTCTTTACTTCTTTATTTATTTAATTTTTTGTCGACGCCGAGCATGTGAGTGATTTCTCAAAGGACACATTAAATGAATTTCTCCCTAAAGAACAATTATTTTGTAGACAAATATAATGGGCATCTTGATTTTTTAACTTCCGTCTCCTTTTATTCCGTCGTAAATGGTGTTGGTTTAAGCAGATGCTAACGGCATCTGGCAGCAATTGCATGTATCATTCTCATAGGAGGCGTAACCATCCGGTTTACTAATTTTAAGGAAACTGGTTTCTTCTTCGAAGCAAAATGTTATATTGAAAGTAGGCAACCGCACATGTCCCATGCCGCATCCGTTCCCCGCGGAAGGGACTCACTCCGTTTACTACTTTTAAGGTAAGTGGTTTCTTCTTCTGACGTACCGTGTTTTCTTTCATCAAACAAGCTGTTGGGTTATTAAAAGGCAACAGCGTCCGGCTTATTGCATCCTCCCCCGCTGAGGGCGTTCGCCCCGTTTACTAATTCTAAGGAAACCGTTTTCTTCTTTCGACACAACGTATTTTCTTCTACCAAGCATGCTGTTGACTTAAAAAGAGGCAACGGCCGGACTCAGAAGGCGTTCACCCCGTTTACTAATTTTAAAGAAACTGGTTTCTTCATTCAAGCAAAAGATGGCTTATTTTAAAACAACGTTTATTTTATTTAAGAAAACACAATTCGCTTGTCTCAAGCGAATCATGTTGTCTTACATGAAGAAAACCGTTGGTTTCTTCCAAGTCAAACCCGCTTTGAAATAAGTAAAAAATCCAAGTAGACGCGTTTACTTAAATTCAGGAAATCTTTTTTTTCCGTGCTCCTTTAAAAAAATAACAAAGAGGCGGAGATTTTCAGACACCGCAAACGAGTTATGTGATTGCCGACTTGCACCGTCGATATGTGTTTTGCATTGAAGATAAGGGAAAATTAAAAAGGCCTTAAATCCAGAAAATTCGCTGAGGAAAGCTCAAGTGCTGTTATAACAGGTGTAAACTAATTCACAAGAGTGTGACAAAGAAACCATAACCGAACAGTTAAAAAATTTCTCGTTTAGTGTTATTCTGTGTTACTTTTTTTGAGGCAGATCAACCCAAGGACTTGGTTCCTCAATACAATTTTGTGTTGAATCGACCCAAACCGAAGATTACTCTGAAACATCGGGCCATGCAGAGACTATCCTGCGAAGCTAATGCACTCTTTTTTTCCACCCAATACTCTAAGATTGTGAATTGCGATAGGTTTGTGCATTCATTAATCATCGATGTGACCCAGGTTCAATCCTGGTAGCTACCGTGTAATTCTTGATGAGATCATAATAGATTTTCAACCCAAAGATTTGGCCGATTTGACGAGGGAAAAACTAATACAAAAAAATCAACCAGTAGCTTGCGATACTTCGGGTTTTACTTCCCATTTTAACACAAAATGTTGGTGTCTTTTTCTTTCCATGTAAAAAGTAGGCAGGACCTGCAATCCACTATAATCCCTATAAGATCAACAATATTTGTCTCCTAGTTGAGCAAGACCGTGCGAGTTCCGATATTAGATTTCAGGATTTCTTGGCAAGCCAATCTGCCTTGCTGAGGAGGAACGCCGTATGAACAGCCGAGAATAGCCAGATTTCCTTCAATAATGTGTTTATATTTGAGGAAAGTTATGAATATTGATCCTTTGAGATTTCAGGAATTTTAGGTAAAATTGCGGGCATCATTATCTGAAAAATTGGCAGAAAAATAGTCATGAGTTTGCCAAGAAATTCGTGTTTTATCAATCGGACTTCGGCAATGCTTGAAGATTCATACGGAGTTTTTCCTTATTAGCACGGCAGTAATAGACTGAATTAGCGGGCACTGAGGAAAAAAAGTTCTGTAGCGAAGACAAGATAAAAATGGTAAATTCGTTTAAGCGCATGAACAGGAATACACCACTTCTCGATTTTAAACTTTGAACTAGTCACTCTCATCTAATACTGTTGAATTCCAGCATGAACGGCTCAAGGAAGATAAATTTAGTAGTATTTCAAGTACCTTCCACGAAATGGAACTTTCTTAATTTTATCTTTACACGATTTCACTCCACATTTCGATGCACGAAGTTTATATTTACACGTGGGAAACGTTTGATAGTGAGAGGAATGCTAGCGTAAAGTATTTAATCGCTTTAGTCCGAGGATCGGAGGAGATTCCAGTCTTCGGGAAAACACTTAAGAACATTCCGAGGTCTCGTGCGCGATAATCTGAACTGGGTGACAAAAAAGTTCCGGAAAATGACAAAAGCAGGATTTTGTACACGAGGGTGTTGCTTCTTCTAATAATCCATTAATTTTAATTATCAGTGACGTTGATAGTTTTTCTGATAGACTTGAAAGTTTTACGGATTCGGACTGATAATTTGACACGCGCTATCGATTTTCAAAAAATTGACATACGAACAAGGAACGATGTTGATTTTCATAATCATCTTGACTCTTGGGACCCGGATGGATGCCTTCAAAATCTTAGTATTGAACCCGTGGCCTTCGTACAGTCATCAACGTCCGATTAACGCGCTGATAGAAAGGCTCGTCGAAGATGGTCATGAGCTGTTTGTCGTCAGTCCAAATATAATACCGGTAAGTATCCCAAGCCATAAAATATATTAATTGTCACAAGATGTCCACCAAGATTTTATTTTTCCCGACATTTTAAATGAAACGTCCAAACGATATAAAAATCTCCGAAAAAAACCAGATGAGCAGCTGGAAAATTCTACAAAAAATCATAGAAACAACAATTCACTGATATAGGATTTACATTAAGGGTGTTCTGATAAGGAAATAAATAATTATGGAGTGTCTGCAACGTCACAAACCAATTCACAAGGCTCCTGAAATTAGTCTTCTACATTTCCTAGAATCCCGGAGTGAAATGCTGAGTGTAATTCTTCAGAGCGTACAACACAGCTGCCGTAAAATTCGATTAATATGAATGCGGTGCACAGTTTCCTCTTTTTCCGAAAAAAAATCCGCTTAAAATTCACCGAAGTTAAAAGGAGAATCTTGAAAAATAGACAAAATTATTAGAAGTAGCACCACATGGTAGATGATCTGTTTTTTTTTTTTTTTTTTTTTTTTTTTTTTTTTTTTTTTTTTTTTTAATGAGTGAAATTTAGTCGGGTTGAGCTCGAACTTGGTAGTCAAGACTGAACCATCCGTGTTTCTTTTCACAATCGATTAACACGTTTTCATACAATAGAGATTGGAGAATCACGTCAACTACTCCATTGCGGACTTGTCATACGTGTACCAGGAGAAGGAGAATAGCAAGCAAGCCAAAACTTTATATCAAGATGGACGACTTTCAAAATGGGATCTGCCCACTGTGATCGCGAGTTGCCTGGGAATTTTAAAACGAGAGTTTCAAAGTCAGCCATTTCTTGAATTTAAACGGTAAGTGCTGCAGAGAGAATACGAAAATCTATGTCCAAAAAGCATAACCACGTATCTCTACTGCGAGGTTTCAAAATTACCGCTCCAATTTACCTAATTCTTTCCAAGAGAAAGTAACCAAATTAATGCCATAAAATATATACAGGATATTTTGCGGACAGAGAAGAAATATACGTATCACGTAAGTTTTCAATAAATTACTTGTACGTTCTCTAGTTTTCCAAAGAAAAAACGAAATTCGACAGGAAGTCGGCGACGCACACTGAACCGAGTCAATAGGAGATGTCGGACAAAATCTGGAAACTTTGAAAGCTTATATTTTCGAAAATGAGATAAAAAAGTTTAAGAGTGAGTCCATTGGTTTTTTCGTAAAATTTCCTTTCAGAAACACCCATTAAAAATTAATTTGTGACGGAAGAAACCTTAAATTCTCAAACTTCAGCCAAAAATGTCACGTCCGACCTCTTCTAATAGCTCGTTCCACTGTACGACATCGCAGGATCCACGTGGTTCCGTACACCATCGAAATATGAAGAAACGAAAATTACGTGAGCTGGTGAAAAGCGGTATCGCGGAGGTCTATTGGGACGTATTCATGCTAAAAGGAACTATGTGCATAGGATTTGCGTGCAACATAGTTCCTTTTAGCATAAATACGTCCATAAAAGGTTCAACGTATTATGGACCCTTTATGGACGTATTCATGTTAAAATGAACTATTTTGCACGCATATGCAAATAGTTCCTTTTCGCGTTCGAGGCTCAGATGCTGGAAGTTCCGGGAGCAATCAAAGCTACGGCTCCAGCATCCGGAACTTTCGGCCTCTGAGCTTCGACAGGCCGGTATGCGGTATGTCTATATATCCCGTTACTTTTTTCAGTATGAACTTAGGTGTCTTAAAAAGCTCTGTGTGATCTCGGAAATTCATCTATTAAAATTCGTTTGCAGGCGCATGGACTCGGAAAACATAAAATTTGACGTTTCTATCGTTAATTCGGCCATCTTGCCATTCCTCACCCCGATGGCGCGAGTCCTGGCCGGAAACGCACCGATCATCAGCTTTTCTTCATTCGTCATGGATTGGTTTTCCGAGGACCTCTTGGGCAGTACGGCTCATCTGTCTTTCATCCCGTCTCTCTTCAGCCACTTTACGGATAAAATGACTCTGTTGCAAAAACTCGAAAACTGGTTCGCCCATCGCTACATCGTATCCAACTTGAGAGGGCGCATGGAAGCTTTTGCGAGAGAATTCATTCGGGAAAATTATGGTGAAATGAACGAGAGTCTCGTCGATGCCTGGTGGACGAGAGTTAGCCTCACTCTGATCGGTTCCAACTCTCTCTACTACTATCCGAGACAGCTTGGCCCAAATGTGATTGAGGTTGGACCTTTGCATTTGAAACCTCCAGGAGAAATGCCGAAGGTACATTTTCACACGCTTAGGGTCGAATTCTATCACATACTATCGTATTCTATGCTATCATTCTGTTATAGAGTAAAAGTTACTTTCAAAGGTAAACGCTCGACTCATGTGACCAAAGGGCTTAGCTGGTTTAGCAATGGACCACTAGACAACACTGGAAAAAAACACATTGGCTCTAGAATCCAGACTCTTAAAAACATTGACAAGAAAAAATACTCTTGATTCAATCGGATTTTTGCTTGAATCAAAACGAAATCCGCTTAAATTAAGAGGCTTGGTTCCTGATTTAAGCTAGATTCTGATTGAATCAAGAGTACTTTTTCTTGTCGATGTTTTTAAGAGTGGACTCTAGATCCAATGTATTCTTTTTTTCCAATGAAGGTACGAATTTCAGCATTTTGATACATGTTTCTCAACTAAAATGTCACGTAGAATACGACGCGCACAACGAAAATTACCGCAATCAATACCGTACGAAGATATTTAATGATTCTTGATGCGTGAATTCAAAGCACCCGCTCATGAAAACTCAATGCTCTGTGTGATTTACATCGTGCGTTAACGTTATCATGACAGTCTCTGCGATATAAAAATCTGGCAACCTCAATCTTGACGCTTTGGCTCAGCTGTAGCAAATTGCTTATAGTTTGAGCAACACATGGTGGTACTCGATTAAGAAGCTTGTTGAAACCGTTGTAGTGCGCAATTTGACTCACGTAGAGCTTTGAGTTTCTTGTGAGCGGGCAGTGCAAATTCCTCGTAACCAATGTGAAATAAAAACGTTAATAATATCTCCGTTAGGAGTTGGTTTCAGTAATCTTCGTTGCGCGAATCGTGCTCTCCGTGAAATTCTGGTTGAGATTCATTTATCAAAATGCTTAAATTGGTACCTTGTCTAGTGGTCCAGTCTGACCTAATGTGCACAAACTCGCCTTGCAAAGTGTTCTCAATGACATTCATGCCCTGAAAGTTAGATAAACTGTCCTCATCCGAGATTCTCGAAAATAAAGCAGCGCTTTTCCAAGAATCTAAAAAACGATCGGGAAAAATTTAAAGTATTGGCAAAATGATCAATTTCAAAAAAGAGGAGAAAAATTACTCTCGGCTGGCAAAATGTATTATATGCAATAATATTTGTACTCGAAAAAATTATTTTCATTTTCCCAGGACATAAAGGATTGGTTAGATGGGGCGGAAAGAGGGGTGATCTACTTTAGTTTTGGAAGCAATATAAAGAGCAAGTCCTTACCCAAAACTGTGCTGGACAACTTCTTGAGCGTTTTCCGGGAGCTACCGGCTGGCTACAGGGTGCTTTGGAAGTGGGAGGCAGATGGGAAAATTCCGGGACAGCCAGATAATATTTTAACCCAAAAGTGGATGCCTCAGGACAGTGTGCTTGGTAAGAAGGGTTTGGTATTATTATTTTCAAGTAAATTGGTGTTTTTACATGATAGAATACTGACTTTGAGAGTATAGAGTGTAAATATTCACACACACCAAAAGAAAATTCCAATTTGTTTAAACTTCTTCTGGTGTCCCAATAAATTATGGCGAGACTAACGAGCAGATGAGCGATTAATGAATTTTTTGGTTTTTTTATTCTCGAAATATGAGAGAAGTCGGACAGAAGTTGGAAACTTTAAAAGCTTATAACTCCGTTCTTGCAAAACTTTTAGTTTTGAAAAGTGGTTCCATTAGTTTTCTCGTGAAATTTTCTTTTAGAAGCTCTCCTCAAAATTTAAAATGTTACGACGTAAACATCAAAAATTGCAGTTTTAGTTAAAAATTTCATGTCCGACCTATCTAATGGACTCGATTCACTGTGTGACAGTGGCAAATTTACAGAAAGACTGACGGATTGCCATTTGGGACAACCCCTCTCTTCTCCGCATCAAGGCAGTGGAAAGGGTTGGAAGGCTTTTTTTGGAATTTCTTGAAAAATAAACCCCTTCATTTCCTCCAGTTTAAAATTGTTGGAAATTTCACACTTAGGCTCAAAATTTAGTAGAGATAATTAATAGATTTCGCCATTTTCTCTGAGTTTCGTCGAAGAAAGAAAAATTAACGAAAAAGTCATGAAATGATGTAAAGTTGATTGTGCAATGTTTTTGACCTAAAAACTAAATACAATTTTCGGACAACAGTATTGTAATTACCTCACCATGGACAGTGTAAGTGTTCAAAGTTAAGATTAAACCTAGAATTAGACTTTTGCAAAAGCTTTACAATTGGAATGTTTCCCCTCTGCCGTTCTTCATTATTTTCTCATAATTCATCGCCATTTTTCACGGGGGAAAGGAGTCTCAAAATGTTCCTTTCCCGAATTTGCTTTTGTTCTGAAAGTAAGTTTACCGCCATAAACCGATTTTTAAAAATTTTCACGTTGGTATTTGAATCAAGCCATTTAATCATTGTTGATAATAGGAATAGGACAAGAGCAAAGAGTAAGGTAGTCCAATGACTCTTATTAAAATACATTAAAATCTCCACGATCAACACACTGATTTCAAGAACGTTTTGATTTTATCTGGTTATTTATGGCAGCTCATCCAAAGGTCAGACTATTCATCACACAAGGGGGTCTCCAGAGTTTCCAAGAAGCAGTTCATTATGGAGTCCCCACCGTCGTCACACCATGGTTATTTGATCAAGAATGTGTGGCGGCTAAAATGGTTGACGCGAAAATTGGAGTCAAGTTATCACCACAGAATGTACATTCTTTCGAAAAAGTCAAATCTGCTATTGAAACCGTGTTGTACAATGAGAGGTAAGATACCGTTGTTTTCATGTTTTGAAGACTCATTTATAAGTGAATTGCGAATAGCAACCGCTTGGAGAACCTGTCAAAATATTACTTCCCTCAAAAGCAGAGAAACCTTAACATTTTTAAATTCTTCGAAAAAAAAAAACGGAACTCTATAAAATCAATTGAATAACAGGAAAGAGAGGGTACGTTAAATTGCGGACATTAATTATATAAAAAAAAACAAATCATTTTGGAAACAAACCGATGACTCTTGCAGATTGGCGAAAGTTCTTTCATATGAGTTCAAATGTTCTATCTTGGTGGATCCTGATTCGTGTTCAAACAAATGACGGAAGAGATGTGGGTTCCGGTTATTGATATCCGTATTAGAGGCACGCGTTGTGGTAAGCGACGACAAACGTATGTCACCAGTAAAAAACGCCTTCAGTTTCGCGTGATACTCTACCGCTCACACCGGAGTTCAAATATTTGTATCATAATTGCCGTGCAGAATCCTCCGCTTTTTGAACATTCATCAAGTACATTATCTCGCATTAAGTCAGAGAAACCTTTATAAAAACTGGTTGCATGATGAGTAATGTAGGCTTCTGTAAAAGAAGCGGGAGTAGCTTAGTACGAACTGTGGATAAAATGAAGAGGTCAGCTGTATACGGTTATCATAATTAGACTTCATTGTGGAATTGGGAGCTACAATTTCTCATCCGTAAGAAGACGGATATGCATAGGGAAACAAACGACACTTACGATGTTTACATATCAAGCCAGAGAATGTAGTTCCTTTTCGCAAAATGAAGTCAATTTGGATCGCGTAAAGCAGAAGGGAACCAAGCAACATCAGTTATTGCCAAATGTAACCGGGCGATTTGATATTTTACATGAGGACATTTGTGCGGATTCCTTTAAAAATTTGAAGAAATTTGCTTCGTGCTTTACAAGACATTCACTGAAATTTGCCCAAAAATCCACACAACCGTTTTCATGAAATAAATTAGATTGCCCGATCAAATTTGGCAATACCTGACGTGGTTTGGTTCATTTCTGCTAAACGTGGTCCAATTGAAAGCATGATCGCATGAACTGAACAGTGGTGGAAGTATAGAGCATCGTACTCCGGTTCATTATATCGAACTTAGTTTCTCAGTGCAGATAGTGGATGATGGATACGAGGTTTTGATTAATTTGAATTTTCCCTAGCTTTTCGAGGAATATGCGAAGACTCTCATCAATATCGCACGATTTCACGTCCGGAGGAATGGACAAAGCTGTTTTCTGGGTAGAACACGTAGCCCGTCACGGCGTGGCATCTCACTTGCGGCCATCCTCTGCTCATGCGAGCCTTTTCGAATATTTCTGCCTCGACATTATATCTGTGATCTTAGTGCTTTTTTCCGTCCTTTTATGTTTAGCTTTTCATATTCTCAGTTACATTATTAGATATCTTCCCTTAGTTTCTATAAAATTTGGTGAAAAAATGAAAGACGCGTAACTTAATAATATCATCCTCGACCTTAATTTTCTGTGATCTTATATTGTCTTGTATTATGGTGTTCATGTTTAATATTTCATATTCTAGGATTTAAGAAGTATATTTCTCACCTGTAACTAATAAAATGGTCAAAAATGATGATCTAATCCATGATTTAATTTTTATACAATTTTATGATTTCTTTTATTGTTAATGCCTTGTCCCGCTCTCTATGAGTAACTTCTCAAGATTTTGGATGTATGCCCAAAAAATTGGTCAAACAATTTAAGAGCTTTCAAAAAATAGTTCTGTTCACAGGGCTCCTGCACTTCTATTTTAACAGTCACAGAAGCTTCCGTTATGAGGACAGAATACTCTGTTCCCACGACCGAAATTCTGTTCTCACAACAGAAGAATTCTGTGCGTGTAACAAAGAAACTGTAGGAGCATTGTTAACAGAAGAGTCTGTCGTCAGCACCATCTATTTTTTTCTGTGAGGCTTCACAATACTCTCATCCGTTACAAGCTAAGATCTTCCATTCCGTTTAAAACTCTCCAAATGAAAGGTCAGTTTGATTCCTTTTCATGTTAAAATTACGGAGGTATCGGCGCACACATTTGTACAAAACAAATTGGATGAAAATTGTTTTACGTAAAAATTTCGTGCTTACAATAATCATGCAGAGTACTCACTGACAATGACAAAGAAAATTAAGTTTCTAACTGCGATCTGATAGGGTGGTTGAGAAATTAACATACCTGCAACAGACAAAGATAACATGTTGCGTTTAGAGAAGATTTCAAGATGGTTGGTGTTGTAGAATTACCTAACGAACATGCACAAACATTCCGATAATTCAACTGCCTTTGAATTTTACCGTGACTACGAAGAATGCGCTGAAAAAATTCCGAGGTAAATTTTTTCTCAGGGCTGCATCCATTACCGTTACTCAAACAACCCTCCCTTAGGAGGGCCTCATATGCTTGACAATGTGGTTAAGGAAGGCCTAAAGAACCCTTCAACATACCATGAAGAGAGAGATAATTCTTATGAGTCCCAAGTAGAATTAAAAAGTATAAACCCAATTTATCCTTAGTTGGATTAAAATAATTTTTCACTGCATAAATTACAAGGTGCTGAAGAAAATACATTGAAAATTTTTTAAACATTCAGGTAAATCTGGACCTAACTTAGAGTTTGTAAAAATTGGGACATTTTTTACTTCCTATGTGTTGTATTTTTGGCATTGGCAAATCAATTTAATCCCATACAAGGCGATACCCCAAAGTTATACTCTTGAATTATTTCACTCGGTGCTTGTAAATATGAAGTTATGTTGGAGGCTCCCCTAAGCCACCTCAGATTACAATGTCAACTGTATGGGACCTGGAACCTCGGAAAAAAAAACAAATATTTAAAAAGCTACTATGGATGTGACCCTTAACCCTCCCTGGTAAAAATTGGCAGTAGAATGTGTGTTCCAAAATACTATAGACCTATAGCCGGCTGTACGATTTCTTATAGCCTTTTATGGCTGATGGCGATTAAGCAACAGCCAGACGATAAAGTTTATGCTAAACGTTACTAAAAATGGATACTAGGACTTAGTTGGTTTTTGGACTACCGCTCTCTTTTTGTGCCGTAGTATCTTGATTTATTTTGCGAGGAAAGCTCCGTACTTTTGAAGGATGCCTGTCATTCTTAATATGTTGAAGCGCAGTGCGTGAAGTCTCCCTGTTAGGTTTGTAGGCGCCAGTGCGTCGCCGCGCAATGCGTGAAGTATCCCTGTTAGGTTTGCAGGCGCCAGTGCGTCGCCGCGCAATGCGTGAAGTATCCCTGTTAGGTTTGTAGGCGCCAGTGCGTCGCCGCGCAATGCGTGAAGTATCCCTGTTGGGTTTGTAGGCGCCAAAGCGTCGCCGCTCCGCTTTGTGTTAGGCTCTAATATTGAATATCGCGGAGTCAGCGTTTTTCAACTCATGATTTTGAAATGTTTGCACACTCTGTATGGACCATCTCATTTTAATTGATGAAAAAAAATATGTTTTAAAGGAAAATACAATGCGTGTTTTGTAAATAGTAAGGTAATTCCGTATCAAACTTAATGATTTCCAAAGCACACGAATGTCTACACAATTTCGTACAGCCTTTTAGAACCAATGGCGATAAAGTGTAAAGCCCGGCGATAGGAACTATAGCCCGACTGTATACTTTTTTATAGCTTCGTATAGCCCGGCTATATGATTTGCTCCGCTTTCTACAGCTAGCTATATGATTTCCAATAGCCTTCTTTATTCGGCTATAAGAACTCGTATGGTATTTTGAAACGCAGCTCGTATCGCCAATTTTTACCAGGGCTAGTCTGCCAAACATGGGTCATTTTTGACCCGGAGCTTCGTAAAAGAACGCCCATTTTTCACCTGCTGCCCCTGGAAACTTTACCTTCACAAATAACTCTACAAAAACATTGAATTACATAAATTTAAAAGAAAAACCATCGAAAAAAAATTTTCGAGTAGCTAGAGCTTTTTTTTCACGACTACCGCGAGAACGACAATACCGGGTCACTTTTTACCCGTCTCTCATTTCTTGCGGAATTGTCGGTTTTCTTTTTAATTCAACGACCCATGATGCTGCTGCTATCATCCCTGAGGTAAAATCGAAGCCAGAGATCATCCTATACTACAACAAAACTAAAACAGGGGTTGATACGATGGCTTAAATGGTCAGGTGCTATACGGCCAGACGACAGACGCGACGGTGGACGTTTGCGTTTTTCATGAATATGTTGAATGTTGGCTTATCTAAACTTTGGGAGAAAAAGATAGTCTTAGGCATATAAGTCTAATTTTATGTTTCCCTGATGTAAAACATCATTTAAAATACGTGCATGCGTTAAAAAAAAACTAATAAAAAAGAAGATCCTGTGTATTTTAAATACGGGTCTAAACTGACCCGGCATTGCTAAACTAGTGGAAAAAACTTGTTTGGCAGACTAGGGTTAAAAAGTGGCGATTCTTGAAAGTTGGCGACTATGTTTTCCCTCCATTTAAATGTACATAGAACAATCGATTCTTGGTGAGGCAGCTTCACCTAGAATATCGAAATTTTCCATCGATTTAAATGGAGGAAAAGCAATGTTGCCGACTTGAAAATCGCCACTGCCCTTCGTTCCGCGTTAAGGTGATTCGATGGACGCCATATTTTGTGTCAGAACGGCATGCGATATATCGCATCAATTGGCTCCATTTTTTCAGCTACTCGTCATTTTTCTCCAATTTTGAGATCGCAATTCTGTTGTCAGGTGACAAAAGCATTCACTCACCAATTTTAACAAAGAAATGCAATGTAATAAAGGCGTGGTTTTTTTCAGAGAGAAAACATCGCATTCGATACTGATATCGAAACTGCACTCGAATGCGATTTTTTCTCTCTAAAAAAACCACGCCTTTATTACGTTGAATTTCTTTGTCAAAATTGGTAAGTAAGTGATTTAGTCTCCTGACAACAGAATTGCGATCTCAAAATTGGAGAAAAATGACGAGTAGATGAAAAAATGGAGCCAATTGATGCGATATATCGTATGCCGTTCTGACAGAAAATATGGTGTCCATCAAATCACCTTAATCAAAGAAAAAGGAACATGAGAGGAAATTAGGCAACATGAAATGCAGTCAGGTTGATGTTAGTTAAATCTGTGATTGTTCAAACTGCCGAGGGAGGTCAACTGTTTGCTCCAAACATTTGCACCGATACAATCGAGGATCGGAAACATGACAGCTGTATAACGTGCGGATCGCTGATAACCCAAAATAATACCACAATTACACAATAATTCAGCTTCAACTGTGTCATATGACCGGCTTTATCGGCGTATTATTATCAATGCTAACCTTAACCGAAGGCTGAATTAATATTCACTTTACGGAAGTGCGTTTTGTTTACAGTGAAATACGCGGTGTTTTCTCGAGATGTGTTCAATAACTAGTCTTAACACAGTGCGCATTAGTGAACAGTGTAATAGTATCGTCGGGTGAAGGGTTCTGAAATTCCAACCATGCCCTGAAGGTTTACAAATGAGCTAATTAATGATAAATAACCAAATACACACACATTTAAAAATATGACAATTGACTACATAAATAGCAATATCATCATTTTCAGCATTTTCACCAGCAGTGTTTATGAATAAAATTACAGGTCTGAATTACGCCTTTACTTGACAGTAGTAAGAAGGAGGTAAAATAATTCTGGGTCCACACTATTTTTCAGGGAAAGCAAGGCAAAAAAGTTCAAAAAATTCAATTGAGAAAGTAAAAAATTTGAGCTCTGAAGAGTTTAATTCCGATGCATCAGTGGCGTGGCGTGAATGATCGATTATCGATAACTGGCCATTTGAAGCTATGGTAAAGAATCGATTACTAACATGTTCGCTGCGAACACAATGATATTTGATCTTTTTTCATAGGTTTGAGTGGCGTATCAATCGATATATCGCAAAGCAGGCCACGCCACTCCGCTGCATCTGCCCAAGCTGAACATTTTCCTTACTTAGTCTTGAAATGATACTTAAAAGAGCTCAAATGTTGACAAATTGACATTTTTGAAAATTTTATCTTCGCTTTCCCCGCATAATAAAGTGGACCCAGCATTATTTTACCACCTTGTTATATACAATTCGGGTCACATTTTTGGTGGTTTTTTTCTTGCTGGACAGTAAAGAGGGGCTTTTTGCCTATCAAAACTGAGAGCCCATAAAAGTTTGATGAGTATGACAGGCACTAGTGAAAAGATCTTGGCTGTATTAAAAAATGTCTATTTTGGTTAATTGGTTATTTTGTAGTGCGGAAATTTCGGTTAATCATTCGCCAAGAGATGCAAAGAACTATGGATTCCGACGAAAAATATGGTGTTCAGGAAAAAGAAATTTTCGGGTGAGTCACTCAAACTCTCATTTGATAAAATTGTGTCCCAATGCCGATCATAAAAGGCTTAAGATACAATGGTGATACAATGAGTGCAAATATTTAATCTATGGTTGCTAATTCTAGATGATCATATACCGATATGCGATCAAAACTTAAAGACCGTGAATTCGGGGTTTTAAGCACAAATATAATGCATCGAGCTATTTGTAAGTGATTCACGGAATCAAAGATGTGTGTTCAATTTTTCTTTAACGTTTTAATTTTATGTTGCGGTGCGAACGCTTTTAATATTTTGATCCTATCTCCAACTCCATCGTTCAGCCATCAGCGTCCAATTTTGGCTTTAGCGGAGAGTTTGGTTCGAAAAGGACACAAACTTTTTGTTGCTGGTCCCAATACAGTTCCGGTAAGTTTTCATCGATTCGATTTCTACATTCTTTCCTCTTGTATTTGTTATATTTTATATACTCTTTACTGCGATTGAAATCATATTAAAATGTTACAAATGTAAAAATTAAACATATAAAATATATTTCAAAAGCATAATCCGTCTTTTTTACGAAAAAAGCTTTCATCCAATAGTTATGTTTGAATTTAATATAACTTGACGTACAACAAGAATGATTTTTTGGCAAACTTTTTGAACTGATTGATAGCAGATCTCATACCCAACATACTATTCACCATAAGAACGAATGAATGAAGTATAAGATGCTCTTGGTAAATTTTGTAAATTAATACTACTGTCTAGGTTTTATACATAATAGCCTGCGCGCGATAAAAATCAAAACATCTCAAAAGTTACTTCATATTTTTAAACTGATGATCTACTTTTTTTAAAACATGCAAATTGCAGATAGATACGATGCATTTCTGTTCAGTAGTAGTTGTAATTTGAGGAGAATATTTTTATTTCTTTTTTTTTTAAATCAAAGGCATCGTTTTTTAAAAAAAACATCAACAAGAGAAAAGGGTCATTTGTGAGACCGAAATTTAGTTTACGTGGTTTGCTGAAGCTTTCACCTGTTCTAGGTCATGATTTCAACGTTAAAACTACAAAGACACGTGTCGTTTGCGGTGTTTCATAATCTCCGTATCCTATTTAATTTCAGGCATGGAGAAAAAATCAACAATACCCTTGGTCTGAAATTTTTACTAAGGATTTTTGATACAGAGAAAAAAAAAACTGGGAAATTTTCAAGAATTCTCCCATTTAGAAAATAAATTATAACTTATAAATATGCATTGCAAATGAGGTGCTCATTTTTGCAATTTTACTCTCTAACTTTTTAGATAACGTAACTTTTTTTTTTTTTCCATTTAGGGTTTGGAACAAAACGAGAACTACACTTTTGTGGATCTTTCGTTTTCATATAATCTTCTCAAAAATGAAAACGGAGATGGTGTCATCAAAATTACTACCCAGAGACAGTTATCTAAATGGGAGGTGGGTTCGGCAATACTCAGTCCGGTGACAGACTTGGCCAAATCCCAGCTGACCAGTGACCAATTCCTTCGGTTTAAGCAGTAAGAACGTATTGTTTTAAATATTATACTTATAATTCAATTACAAGGATCATCCAGGTTGTAACTCTCGGATGGTTTTTTTCTCTTTTTCTTTAAAAAAAGCTTTAACGAGCGGTTGTACTATTTCCTAAAGATTCTTTGAAATAGTTTTTTTCATTTATTCTTAACAAACGCAAAACCGCTTATCAATGGTCTTGCGATAACGTCAATAATGCAAATAACTTTTTTTATACAATTAACAATAATTTTTCAAAAACAGTTACTTTTCTTGGGCTCTTAAATGCAGATTTAAAGGAAGCCCCTTGCAGTGTCTTAAAGTTCTCGATTACCCTAACTTATGTTTCCGACAGATCCATTCACAGATATCGTCGCTCCTATGGCGTAAGGGCGTACCTCAATTTTTGCATGAGCCCCAAGAATCATGTATTTATAAGTAAAACAGGGCTTTTGTGAAAATCGAGATACGCTCTTACGTCAGCGCGGTGACAATATTCAGCCACTAAGAAATTCTTAAAAAATTCAGTACATTCGATTATTTTTCACAGCCCTGAGCATCTTCATCTGCAGGGCTCCCATTTCCCGGAACTGGTACTGAAGTTCGGAACTTATGAGATTTTCCTGCATTTTTTCGGAACTTTTGAGATTTTCCCAAATTTTTCCCGGAACTTTTGAAATTCCTGAAATGTTCCTCGTCGTTTTGTTGTTGTATTTTTCGGCAGTCTATTTGGCTTCTATGCCTAATTATTTAGTAACTTAGGAATCTACAGCCATCTTTAGACATGAGTTTTTTTAACAAAAAGATTATTTTACTACACATCAGGGGGATCTATGCACATCCATGCTCCGGCTTTCAAAGTGTCAGGGATTAAGGTCTAAGGAGTAGAATCTGTTTCTGTAGATCGTCGGTCCCGTGAAAATCTGTCGTCCCCACCGGGACTCGAACCCGGGACCTATTAGTCAAGAGTCAGACGTGCCAACCCGGCCGGCTTCGAGACTTTTGTAAAAATCTAAAAACAATACCGGAACTTTTGACGGTCATGGAGTGCGAGAAATTGGAACAAAGAAATTCCAAATCCCGGATTTTTTGACGGACATGGAATGTGATCACTGTTCATTGGCCCACTCTCGGTTGCAGGCGCGTCGAGTTAGAGAACATAAAATTCGACGTCGTCATCGTCCAACCGTTGTTCATCCCTTACTTGACACCGACGGCCCGCGTTTTGGCCGGAGACGCCCCCATCATAGCCGTCTCATCCTACGTCATGGACTGGATGACAGAGGACGCGTTGGGCAGCCCGGTTCACCTCTCATTCTCGCCCTCGGTCTTCGGCCACTACACGGACAGAATGAACTTGCTGCAGAGGATCGAAAATTGGTTCTCTCATCACTACGTCGTGTCCGGCATCAAGAGGACGATAGAGGCCTCTGCGAGGAGGTTCTTCACGGAGGAGTACGGTCTCAACGCCACGTTCGTGGATGAGTCCCCTTGGGAGAGGATCAGTCTCACTCTGATCACGTCCAACTCGCTGTACTATTATCCGAGACAGCTGGGCCCGAATGTTGTCGAAGTTGGGCCGCTTCATCTAGAAACGCCTGATCCACTACCAAAGGTAAAGTAAGACACTGAAAAAAAAAAAAGAAAAACTTCGGCCGTGGAAACCGTACTTACAGGCTAAATAGACATACCGCGTCCCCGTTCCGGGCCCATGAGCCGAAAGTTCCGGGGGTAGCACCCGGACTATCGAAGCTACGACTCTAGCACCCGGAACGGACGGTGCGTCTATAGAGCCAGTAACTTTTTTTCGGTGTATTTTTTATATGGGATGCGTTTTGGGTGAAAAAACATAAATAGCACGGTGCAACAAAAAAGTTGGGATGATTTTAAAATTTAATGCAATAATATTGTTGTTTTATTCTTGAGTAGAGAATTTACACGAAACTTGTTTAATGGTGCATTTGAGCTGGGAGTACTTAATGAACTATGTTCGCACTATTTTTTGTATGTTTTTTTTTTTATTTTTTTGATGGGAAATTTCAGAAAAACAGGTTTAAAAGTGAGAAAATCTTCCGCCTTGCGACGTCATCAGGTGGCATTTCCCATTTAAACCCATATCAACAGAGATAGCAGCCTTTTAGCAAATTAGGTCATTTGGCTTTATCTCCTCTAATAATTGTTCATTTTAGAAACCAAGGACATTCTTATGTTTAGTTCACTCAGAAGTCACTTCTCTCACGTGAAATTAGCGAAGCATTTAGCACCTGTAAATCGGGAGGTTTACGATTGGGTCCCAAAAATAAAGTGAAACAGGAGGACTGCAACGTCCAAAACTGAGGTACGCGGTTTCGCACAATGGTCATCAATGAGGGTACAAATATTTCCTTTTCTTTTTTAGAATTTACAAAGTTGGTTGGACGGGGCAGGAAAAGGAGTCATTTACTTCAGTCTTGGAAGTAATATGCAAAGCAGATCTCTACCGAGAGAAGTAGTGGACAACTTCTCGGAATTTTTCCGAAGTCTACCTCCTGGTTACCGAGTTTTATGGAAATGGGAATCAGATGAAAAGATTCCTGGACAATCCGACAATATTTTGGCCCAAAAGTGGATGCCTCAACACAGCGTGCTGGGTAAGTAGAATTGAAAGAGTGCACGAAAAACTATTTAGTTTTACATATTTCCCAAATGCAGACTCTGTGCGAGGTTTTCCTAATAGCACTACCAAATGGACTGAGTTTATCAAAAAGGAGCCAACCCACATTTTAGAAAAATTGAATTAAGAATGTTTTTGAGTTCCACTATAGCCGTATATTTTCTCCAGCCAATAACTGAAAATCGAAAAAAAAGGAATTAGTTTGTGAGGAAAGGGGTTAAAGCTCATTGTCTACATTAACCCTTATGCAGGAATAAAAATTCAAACATCTTTTTCTCAGTTTCAACTTGATGTGAGTTGATTCCTTTCCGATGAACTCGGTCCAAATATTTTTAGCTGCTTGGAGGAGAAAATCGATTAATTATGATATTTTTGAAATCACAACGAGAAATTCGAACACCTCTCCTAACATGGATAAGAAATATGAGGCTGACAAACTTATTATCCACATTAAATCATGAGGGCCATAAATTCAAGTGTTAGATAATTTCTCCTGGTTTAAAGTATTACAATGCAGTAATACAATGCAAGTAAAAGGTCCAAGATAATCAAGAAGGATGAACATGATATTATGACACTCAAAAGCTCTTAACACTGTAAAAAGGCAGAATTAATTTCTCAACATTTTTTTATTGAATTTTCATAGCACATCCAAAAGTCCGATTATTCATCACTCAAGGAGGCCTTCAGAGTTTCCAAGAAGCAGTGCATTTTGGGGTCCCCACGATAACCATACCATGGTTCTCGGATCAAGAATGCACGGCTGCAAAAATGGTTGACGCAAACATTGGAGAAAAGTTGTCACCACAAGATATCCACACTTTTACCAAAATCAAAACCGCCATAGAGACCGTGTTATATGATGAAAGGTACGTCTGACAGTAAGCTTCACATGCACTCCAAATATTCTATTAAAGTAAAATGAGAACTATTGGTGTGATAGTCGTTGTGGTATTATGAGTAGTTAGTAAATTGATAGGAAATCGATTAAATGAAAGCTGAGGACTTGGGTCACGATGAAAGTTTAGGATAGATTGTGGTATGATGATAAATATCAAAACAATCTTAATGTTTGAAACGTGGCACTGGAATACAATATTGGTCTTATGGGAATTAATTACATCTCTCTGAAGTTTTGAGATGTTGTGTTATCAGGGTACCTCCAAATAGCTAGATTAACCAACCGATCAAACATTCTTATCCATTCAAATAAAAAGCTGTACGTTTAAGGGGATATTGTTTTAATGTTCAAAGACTCGGTCATGCTTCTGGAAAATATAATAATGCCTCAAGAGGAGAATTACTAAAAATGTATACCTACGTTGAGAAATTCGATGTAAAAATTCTTGAGAAATTTCAAGAATCTGTTGGGAAATTGTGTCCGCTTTCCACTAAATTACAGGAAAAATCCTCGAGGAAAATGAAAACTTGATGGTTCCACAAAAAATGCGACGATCAGCAAATTGTTTACGCATTCTATGATACTTTTCCAGGTTTCTCTTGTTAGCGAAAAAATTTCCTCATAATTCCTAGTGTTTCTGATTGTCCGGGTTATCACTCTGCACATTAACATTAAAATTGTATGAATTTAAATGAAGAGGGACCATATCAATTTTTGCATGAGCTCTGTAATGCAGGTTCTCATACTATATCTGAAGGCTCGTGTCAGAACGGCTATAGTTCCTTTTGATTTACACGTGTCAACTTTTTGATCAATATTTCCTTTTTTCCCTCTATTTTTATCAGCTACTTGAAGAATATGAAGAAACTCTCTGGTCTCTCACACGAATTCACCTCTCAAGCAATGGATAAAGCCGTTTTTTGGGTAGAGCATGTAGCCCGCCATAAGGGAGCGTCACACCTGAGGCCCTCAACTTCTGACTCCAATCTGTTCCAGTATTTTTGTCTCGATCTCATATCCGTTATAGTTCTTTCAAGTTTATCTTTTATCTTTTTAATTTACTCAATTGTTTACTATATCCTAAATCCAAATGTATACAGCAAGTCAAATGGGAAGCTCAAGCATTCTTGACTGAAGGTACGGCCTCAGTTTGATGCGTTCCGATCAATAAATGGATGTATTTATGCTGGAGGAACAAGGAGGCTGGGAGGAGACGTAGGGGACGCCCAGTGAGAGGTTTGCGACAGGGGGTGTTAAGTGAGATGAGGGAGTGTCAACTCCCTGATGACCTGAGGGAAGACCGAGCTTTGTGGCGATTAGGCGTCGTAAAGCGCCAAAGAGCGCTGTAAAAGTGACTCATATATATAACAAGGGGCAAATTGATTAAAACCAAATTTTGTTGCACGCAAATATTACGAGCAGAGTTTTATTTATTCTCACATATCGATGTTTAAGGCGGGATATCACGTACATCCATAGCGGTGTCTCAAAATTATAACATGCTCATACGGCGTTGAAACACAACATGGGCCATTCAAGCCCCCTTATTCGATGCCGCGATTATTCTAACGTGAGTTCGAACAATCGCGCCAAACAAAGTGCGACCGACGTTCCACGCAGATCAGCGCCTGCAAGACTGCATGAATACTTCTCGCATTGCGCTAAACGCAGTGTTGTCTCTTGTCAGTCGGTCAGTTGGCGTGACGTGCTTATTAGCGCCCACAAGACTGTAGGAATACTTCACGCATTGCGCGTACAGCACAGTGCGCCCTTTGATCGTTGTGATTTCTGGATGTTAGACCCATCACACGTGGTGCGATGGACGCAATATCAAACCAGAGTATAATGCAAGCCTCAAAAATATGTATCCTCATTGTAACGATTCAGAAACTCGGTTGATATGTTATTCTTTTTTTGGTTACTTAAAAAGAAAGTAGAACGAACGAAGAAATAGAACGAAGAAATATCGCATCGAAATTTTTGATGCTTTTATTTGAGATCATTTAGGAAAAATCGCAGAAACTTTTCCAAAGAAATATGTGTAGCTTTTTAAAATCATCGACTAAAAATAAAACATACAAGTTGTGCGTAACTTTGCAATTAGAGATAAATACGCTTTCCTTCGCGTACTCCCGTCTGCTTTTGACTCCATTCATTTATTCAGTAAATTAAAGATGGTTGTTCTACAATATTTTATGTGTAGTCTTTTTCATTGGATGGCAGCTGCGTAGCAGCCACAGGCCCCTGGTTGTATACATATCCCAAAAATTGAAATATGAAAGTTAGCGCATCAGAATTGGTTATTCTGCAAACACTCTAAACTGTGAAAATTTTGAAAATCCAAAACCCAATATTTATTTCCTTCATCTGAGGGAGCACAGCAATGTGTCCTACACTGAGAAAAAAAGTTCGGTAAATCCGAACTAGTTTGGTTCATATGGAACCAAGATTTTGTGCGGTACACACGACCGAATTATTTGGTCTGCTCAGCCGAACTTTTCGGTCCACTGAACCGAACTGTAAGAATTTATTATGGTTCGGTTGCACAAACCGAACAATTCGGTTGAACAGACCGAATAATTCGGTTGTGTGTACCGAACAAAATCGTGGTTTCATATGATCCAAACTAGTTCAGATTTACCGAACTTTTTTTCTCAGTGTAATAAATTTTAGAGACAGTTTAAAAACTTTGAAAAAGTAAAGTGCAACTATCTTAATGAGCTTGCATCATTTTCTGAATTGGACGTATTTCTGCAAAACGGAATTATACGCATCATGACGTGGGCCCTGTTGTGCATATATCCTTATAGGCGTCAGGGCTCATTTTTTAAAGCACATAGTTCCGTTTGACAGAAATTCGTGCAATTAAATCATCGAGGAGTAGCGCTATTACCATCGTGAAGGGCTTTAATCCTCATGAACGCTTGGTTATCTATACATACATTGACAAAATTAATCACATTCATTCTGAATAATTAAACGTTCGTGAACGATAGGGCTGAGTGCGAAATCATATTAAGATCCACTGTAAAATCGTTTGTGATATTACTTTAATGCCTAACTGCGCGTTAAATCTCTTAAAATTCTCACTAAATTATATAGTCATGCCTGTTTCGTCTATCAAAAAAGGCCACGCAGGAATTTGAATTAAGTGTAAGTTGTGTGTTAGTTGATGGAGCAAATAACGTTTCAAAAAATAAGCTACAACCTTTTAAGCTCTTTGTGCCAAAAGAAGACGTAAAGTTTCATGACGATTCGGTAATTTTGTGCCCTGACCATGAAGATTAGACTTTTGAGCAGTTTTTCTCAAAACTGCATTTTCTGAAGTGTTATGTTCAGAGCACCATTCTTCCAGTTTATTTTGAACTTTTTTGCATTTGTCTCCGTCGAAATATTTGCAAAATACTCTTTTACGCTGTGATGTTGATGACTAAATATTAAACTTCTATCGACTGAAGTACTTTTCCTGTGTATACGGTCACAAAAATAAGACAATGAGGTAAAATTGACTACGTTTTTCATAAAGAGTAACATGAAACCCTGTTGTGGCATCAGTTCTTAATAAGGTCAATGTCTCTTAGATTCTGGCACTGAAACGTTATGTCCCAGTGGCTAGTTTTCAGCCATACTGAGATGGCCATTTACCTTTCGATTTGACTTGGGAGAAAAGTTCACGATGCTACGGTACCGAGTGACAGGTAGACTACATTCTGCACTAAAGATATGCTAAGACTGGCTCATTCGTTTAAGCTCTATCCACTTGGGGAAACCAATCACACATACGTTATTTTGTTATTATGTTTAGTTATGACTCATGGAATGGTTAAAAAGTGTAGTGGTCCCTTTCGAATAAAAATGCAATGTCTCATAAATTTTTATGCAAATTTAGATCAAATTAGAGAAATATATTTATCGTAGATAGGATGACCCTCTAATATTTCTTATGTTTAAGAAATTTGTTTTCTTACTTTAGTGGTTAGGAGTAGTGGTTTCTTCTTGCAAAATGTAGTCCAAATAGTATTCTAGAAATTTTATGAAAAAGGCGAGGAGTGTACTTTGTGTGCCTCTCTTTTTAGAGAGAAAATAATTGAAATATTGGTAAAGACATATAATAAGAGATGAATCTCCGACTTGTTTTGTTCTTTTTAATCGCCGGTGGCTTGTCAGAGGCGTTCAAAATATTGGTTTTGTACCCTACGCCTGCTGTCAGTCACCAACGTCCAATCATGGCCCTAACAGAGAGATTGGTGCGGGATGGTCATGAACTGTTCGTTGTCAGCCCAAATGTTGTACCGGTAAGTGGTTTCCGACTGATTTTGTGAAATAGTACTGATGAATTTTAAAAATGTGCATTGCAGGGTAACAATTTGAGTACTTCAAGACCTGATTTTTTATAAACAATTCACGTAAAATACATTAAAAATATTGCCACTTTTAATTCTTAACAGAAAAATGAGAAACTAGATGTAACGGTTTACGCTGTAGTCAGAAAATTTAGCTTCCGCGAAAAGGAAAATCAATGGAGCTAACATGATCTATTTAAAAAAAGCTAATGGTTTGATGAATAGCTAGCCAAAGGCCAGTTTCGTATTATTTTCTTTCCTCTCCTGATGAATGGTACCTCTCGATACCTTAAGTATAATTTAGCAACCTGATAGAATTTTTTCATCGCAACACACGCTGAAGTTACTTTAAGGCCAGACTTTGGTGTGCCCCCCTCCCCTCCACCCCCAGTATTAATTTTAAATTGTTGAGTACAAAAAACCATATGTATTCACCTGTGAGTGAAAGATGGAAAATTGTGATGTTATATGTGTTTTACAGCTGATTGCGATAATGAACAATGCATGTAAAATCATTAGGTAAGGAATTGAAATTATACAAACCATACCCTTAAACACTTTAGAGATAACTTTATTTAAAAACCTAAGCTTTCAAAATTAACGTTTCTTGAACTTTCCCCCTTTGAAACTTGTTTTCTCAAAACGTTTCTCTCTAGAGATGACCTGACGCAGGTCATACCTTCAACATATGGCTTCTTCACAAATACAACGACGTCTGTATTGGGACTTTTCAGAGACTATCTTAGACGGATAAATTCTTAAAGTAACCACTATTTATTCAAATTTTCCATTGCCATTGCCATGAGAAAGCAGGAACTACAGAGTTTGAGACTTGCTTAATTTGATTTTTCTATCATGCCGTCACTTGACCTACAACAGTAAGCTTCAGCCACTCAGCGCCGTGCAGCTCTCTACTTATATGACCATGAAATCCAGACTGTTCAAAGTCAAGTGTCTTCGTCTTGTCTTGTTCAAGTTTTTAAGTTTATAGACATGTTGACATCTTCTAGAGATTAACGAGGATTGAGGATGAATTCGACGGTTTTCGCCATGTGATCAGCCAATGAACAATCTAAATATGTACAACTGAGTTGATCTACAGGGTGTCTTATTTCAGGAACAACTTACAAGTCATGACTTTTTGCATGTAGATAATTAATTATGGATATTCAGAAATAGTAGGACCTTATTGCAATGCGTGGTCCAATGTATTGAGACTATCTGGATCACATTTAACGAAAAGAAACCAGCGCAATTACAGTGTTACTAATACAACAACAATTAAATATATTTAAAATAATAAATATAAGAAAGATATAAATAATCACCAACAATAGAGAGAGATAGAATAATATATTTAATATATTTAAGTGCGTAACAATATGTTCGTCTTCATGGTTATCTAAAGAATCTCCCAGAATGGCAAATATTTTTTGCTTCCCACCCAAAAATTGTTAATTTTTGAGGAAAAAAACTGTGTAAAGTTTAGTACTGTACATATATTCAGTATCTTTAAAAGGAAAGATGAAGTTGCACAATTTTGAAAACACTATAATCGCGCTGGTTCCTTTTTGCTAAATGCGATCCAATTGTTGTGAGGCATATAATAAAAGACAAGCTGACATAATGTTTATGACGTAGATTTTGGCGAATCATAGCAACTACACCTTCGTAGACGTATCCTTTTCCTACCAGTATTACGCGCACTCAACTGAGAAGAAAGATGACGTCGCTGACTTACAACGAAAACTATCCAAGTATGAGGTTTTGTCGTTTTTCGTGCCCTACGCTGACATACCCAGGAAGCAATTTTTAAGCGAAGAATTTCTAAACTTCAAGAAGTAAGTGCCTGCATTATCTATCGCTGACTAAAATGCTTTTATTAAGTTATTTACACGGTTAAGAATATTTGTCCTCAATAGCTGCATCCCTCTAATGCTTGGTACCTGAAATCAAGATTCTACGTATGTCCCGGCTGCCGAAATACGGTAAAAGAGTCGGAAAATGGGTCTTTTCGTCGCTCTTCTGACGTAAAGGCGTATCTCGATTTTCGCATGAGACCCAGAAAGCATACAGTAACACGTAAAACAGAGCTCACGTGAGAATCAAGATACGTCCTTACGTCAGAGGGGCGACGTTTTGTACTAGCCTTACCTACAGTTTTACCGACTGCCAAACTTTTTTGGAATCCAACTCTTGCCTATAAATTCTGTTCACGTGGTTGCTGAGCTGTGCCTTCTATGTTCAGTTTAGATGCCGATAATGATTGGTCTACATTTTGCAATACGGAAACTACAATTTCTGGTTCAGTTTAAAGACAACGTATGTATCATTAGTTTTACTACTGACATCTGTATGCTTTTACGGATGAGGCAGAAATCTTAGATCCTAATATTACAAAATATTGTCCAATTCTCATGAAAATATTACTGTGCCTCGTAAATAGAGTGCATCTTCAATGGTATCCATATGCACATGAGCCCTTTTTGCTAAGCATGTCACAATATACAAATAGCCTCAAGTATCTAACGAAAAAGTAAAAAACTACGAGAAATGGGTTAGAGCTAAATACACTACAAAACGTTTTCTTTGTTTCGGAATGGCTGGAGTCCTTTTCTTCATTCTCAAAAATTTGATCTTGACGATATGATGTCGTGGATATTTGGAAAGACAGCCTGTCTTCAAGTCCATGGGTATGAAACATGCACATCCACGGAGCTCAAATTGCTAGTTTGCACCATCACCATTCTCTTGGGCAACACGGCAGTATTGTGACACTCAATGGTGAATCCTTCAATCCTGTGGGTAGGCAATACGTGCATCCACAAAACACGAATAGATGTATCGAGGCGCTGCAATGTTCCCACTCAGCCTTCTTGAGTCAATTAAACAACCTTGGAATGAAGTTACACTAATTCGTCCAGAAAACGACGTATTGATAGCACGAGTTTTGATCTTGAGACATTTGCTAATACGGGGCCTCTAAAATACAAAATTTCTGTTGAAGGCGCGTGGAATCCGAAAACCTCCGATTCGACGCCGTGATCGCGCAGACGTTCTCCCTCCCATACGCGGCCCCGATGTCGCGGATCCTCACCAAAAACGCACCGATCATCACGATGTCCTCCTTCGTCATCGACCACTTCGCCGAGGACCTCCTGGGCAGCGTCATGCACCTCTCCTTCGTGCCCTCCATCTTCGGTCACTACACGGATCGGATGAGCCTCTGGCAGAAACTAGAGAACTGGGTCTCGCATCGATATTTGATGTCCCGGATCACGGAGATCATGGAGGCCGGCGCCAGGAGGTATTTCACGGAGGCCTACGGTCCTCAAGGAGGAGATCTCGTCGATGGATGTTGGGAGAGCATTAGTTTGGCTTTGATCACGTCCAACGCGATGTATTTTTACCTGAGGCGTCTCGGACCCAACGTCGTAGAGGTTGGGCCTTTGCATCTCACAAGGCCGGAGGTACTCCTTCAGGTAATTAAGTTTTAAAAGTTTTTTTACGTTTAGTTTACGATTTTAAAGTAATTGGATGCGTTTAAATCATGAGGAACTACAGTACTATCCCGCTATAACGGAATGTCAAGAGACCGGCCGATTTCTTCGTCATGGCGGAATAGAGAATTTGCAGGTGCCTTGAATTTTGTGAATTTCATATTTAAAATGATACTGTCCTCAACTGAGTGCGAGGATACATCTTTGGTTCTGAATTGGACAATTATTGGAGAAAATATGTAGAACTAACCTAATCTGCTAAAATACGTGTATTTACATGGAAAATGCCGCCAGATGACGTCATAAGATGGCGCATTTTCTTACTTTTAAATCTACTTTTCTCCAATTTCCCATGTCAGAAAAAAAGTATGAAAAATACCGCGAACTCAGCTCATTAGGCACTCTCAGATGAAGCGATAAAATATTTGTGTGCAAATTCTCCATTGTCGTTATAGTGTGCGTTGCCCAAAAAGGCACAAAAGGCGTCATAGGGATGCCGAGGGACTCGCCGATTTTTTCGTTATAGTGAGATTTTCGTTATAACGGTTTTTGTTATAGCGCGATAGTGTTGTACATCGATTCTGACATTGTTCGGTTGCAAAAAGAAAAGATAATTGAAAAATAAAATTTCTTGTTTTTTTTTTTTCTGAGTCGAAAACGGTAGTAAAACAAACATTACTGCATGTTTTACAGATGTCTCCATATATTATCATCAAGAGTAAAACGAAAGTTTAGGCGGAAAGTGCCATGACATTTTGACTTGGGGGAAAAAATTCTGTGAATAGAATTTTCAATCAGGGTATTGGAATACGTTCCGTTGAATGGGAAACGAAGTAATGAATGGAGAGTCTTATTCACGTTTTTGACAGCTTTTTGAATTTTTGGCCCCTACTAAAATCTCGTTTTGAGGCGGCCGCACATTGACAGAAACGTACTTTATTGAAAACAAAATCAACTAGGGAGATACGCCTTCTGACCGCTTTGCGGTCCGACCATTTAGGCGTTTTGCACCTCCGCGTCATGCCTTACTCATTTTATTACATAGTTTGATATTATGTTTTGTTGGCAGAATCTGCAAGAATGGCTGGATGGTGCAGGGAGAGGAGTGATTTATTTCAGCCTCGGGAGTAACTTCAGGAGTGCCTCCCTGCCCAAAGATGTTATCAATAATCTCCTCAAAGTTTTCGAGGCGCTACCGAATGGTTACCGAGTTCTTTGGAAGTTCGAAGTGGATAGTGAAGATTTAGGACAACATGATAATGTCCTAATTCAAAAATGGATGCCTCAACAGAGTGTCCTCGGTAATGTAGCTATCATTGAAACCCCACAGTATTAAAATTTATGTCCTACACAGGAAGAAATTTCAACACAAAAGTTTGGATAATACGGGAAGTAAAACACAAAATAATCCTGCTTCGACTGAAAATTTCAAGAGAAAATTCCAGCTAGTTTCTTGAAGAAATATTATAAAAAACGAGTTGTGAATACTGACGTCGTAATTGCAGGAATGCATTTTCTGAGTCTTTGTTTGTCTCACTGTTTTTTGCGCTAAATTCATCACAAACTGTACTGAAATCGATACAAAATTTGTGTTGATTTGTGTTGAAAATGTGTGTCGATTTGTGTTTTACCTCCTACATTAACCAAAAGCAACACAAGAACACACATATTTTTATCCATGTAGGGCTCTTAAGCAATATATGAATTGAAGCACTCCGAAACATAATTTTTTTTCAAAATTTCATGAGATGCACAAAACACACAACAGAAAGTTTGGAAATAAATTCCTAGAAAAGCCTTAAGTGTTTATACACATAAGTAATATTGGTTAAATGACAAAGAACACAATTTTCGTCATTTATGCGATCCGATTTCCATTTCATCCGTGTTCAAAATACATAAAAACCGCTTTCACAGCACCCTGCAACACCTAACCGCCAAAGGCCTTTATCCTTCTAAATTTCTTCCGGGGGTCGTCACTCTCTCGTGTCTTGCATGAACCTCTTTTGCTAAGCGTCCCCTTCGTCTCCTCCCGGGAGGACCCAATCAAGCATCTTCTTTGGCAGCTGTGTTCCTGTTATTCTGTTAGCATGATTAACGAGACATACGAGACAAGCTCCATATTATAAAAAATTATTATTAATATATCGTTCAGGAGTGTATTTTTCAAACTTTCCCTGCAAAAGATTGTTTTCCACGGAATATTTTGAAGAGAAAACAATTGACTTTTCCTTAAAGTTCAGATCGTGTTCAGTTTTATTTTTACACGTTCAACTAGGACAACATCAAGCCGTGTAGGAACTTAACTGTCTATAGCTTGTTTGATACTAAAAGAAGGTGCCCAGGTGTTACCCTCGTATTATTTCATGAGCACTTTACTTCTCGCTTCAAGTGTCGAAAGGGTGTAACAAACACATCAAAATCTAAAAAAAGAGACGTTTTTTAGGTAAGTTTGAGACTCACCGATCAGAATCGTCTGAACTTAATCAAGATGATAAGATAGCCTCTCGTAACGTAAGAAAATGTGAAGACATTATATTTTTTATGTTGAGATCGTCAAGTTCTGTCGTAAACTTTTCTTTTATTCCAGGAAATTATTACACAGTAGCGTTTTCAGCCCCCAAAATGCTTAAAACCTACTGAGGGGCTTGGAGGAAAAAGCGCAAAAGTGCAGTTTTTGAAAATATTGAGATACTATAATGATTTGAAGTAAAACTAATCTTATTGCAAATCCTGTGAAAAATTCGCTCAGAAATTCCAATTTTTTAGCATCGGAAAGTCAGTTTAAAATTTCTCTCCGCTATGAGGATCCATGTAATTTCGGAAGTTCAAACACGTATTTCTCGATGTAGCAAAAACAGCACTTAAGCGCCTTGTCCTCCAAGCCCTTCATGTCTTCAACGCTTATGTCTCCTCAAACTGAAAATTTCTAACCTATGCCAACAACAATCTATATGCAGGGATGTAAACTCTTTTGAAGTAAACGGGAACAACAATGTTGGTTTATGCAGAAAACACAAGTTAGTAGTCCGAACAATCGACGTTTTTCGGTCGTAGGAAAATGTCTTCAATTCAGGTGACAAAACGACGGTAAAACTACAAAAATGAGTATCTCAGTTGCGGTGTTTTAAAATCTCTGCTCTTTTTCCATTTTTTAAAAAACTTACGCCCTGAAAAACCCCGCCCCTTTTTTTACGCCCTGAAATTTTCACAAGACATTCTTCACATTGAGAAGAAATACCACCGGAGTTTTAAAGAAATGACGTTTAGTAGTTTTCGATGTAAAAAATAAAATATGGCAGGAAGAAAACGACGCAAATCGAGATATACTTATTTCTGCAGTCTCACCATCAAAAAGTAGCAACCTTACTAAGTTTCGTATTTTTATTCAGAACATACCAGTTTCCATATTTGAACTTTCATATTGCCATGAAATGAAATTTCTTTTGGTTTCGCCTCTTTTTATTTACATTACTTGGGTTAAATTTTGCAGCGCATCCTAAGGTAAGAGTGTTCATGACGCAAGGAGGGCTGCAGAGTTTCCAGGAAGCTGTGCATTACGGCGTGCCACTGGTTGGCATTCCCTGGTTCGGAGATCACGAATGCCAAGTCTCCAAAATGATGGACGCCAAAATCGGGGAACGATTGGCGCCAGAAGACCTATACTCGGTAGAAAAAATTAAGGAAGCTCTCGAGAGAGTTCTATATGACGACCGGTGAGTGGAAAATACTGCCTTACTTAGGAAAAACGCCGTATGAACCTTCAAGCGTGGCCAAATTCTCTTCGACAAATCACTAATTTTCAGGAAAATTTGTGAATACTTTTCTTCGAATTTCTCAGGTAATTTCGTTCGTAATTTGATTCAAAAAATCTGAAAATTTCAAGGAAAAATATTCATAAGTCTCCTCGTGAATAGACAATTTATTGGAGGAAATTTGGCAACTCCCGAAAGCTCATACGGCGTTCTTCCATAGCGCGGCAGAATAATAGAACTGCATTTTGCAATTTGGAACTATAAATTCTGGCTCTTCTGGAAAAACACTTATGTGCATAGAAAAACTAATGGCACATACGTTGTTTTTAAACCGGGCTAGAATCTATAGGTCCAAATTGCGAAATACGGCCCAATATACTGACCTTATTGTACAAGTATCAAAACAGGGGAAGCAGTATCTTTCTCAAAGGTCAATTGAATAGGTCAGTTACAAAAGAGCTCAAACGCCAAAAATGAGAATTCGAGAAAAATGGTAATAACCGTTTTAATTGACCCCTTATAAATGTCAAAGCTCTCAAATATTAAAGCGGTGAATTAGCTAATCACACTATTAATTAATCTGTAATTTAAAACGGGTTGGATCATACGGTTTCTACGGTTTTTTCCGCATTTATATACCTAGCGCTTGAGCCTTTCTGTAACTGACCGATTAAATTATCATCAATCCTAATATGCCCAGGACTTTTTTTATACTTGGATAGTCGGGTCGCATTTATCGATATTTGAAGCATCGATACAAATAAGACAAACGGAACCAATATAGCGTGGAAATAGGGCAAGAGAAAAGGTGCGCGTTACTGACGGCGCAGAGATACAACTATTCACTTTTGACGGATGTCTGTGTTGTATCTGGAAAATTGAAGGCGTTATGGCGCGAAGTGTCGACTCTCAATACACCGCTCTTTATTGCCAACGAGGTGTAACTCAGATTCAGAAGAAAAATTTGAAAACGAGGGCCGATTACTTATTACCTTCCTTCGGTTGTTCTGTTCACGTTAGTTCTCAAATCATTAATACAAATAAGACAAACGGATCGAACACAGCATGAAAATAGAGGAACGGAAATGACGCGCTTTAATGACGGCGCATTGATACAACTATTCCTGCTTGATGGTTGTCCATGTTGTACCTGCGAAATTGAAGGCGTGATGGCGCAAGGCATAACCTCGCAATGCTCCGCTCTATATATGCTGCAAATGAAGTGTTTCCCAGAGTTTGGAGAAAAGTTGAAAAACGTTTATTTTTTTGGAAGGCAAACGGATCAGCATCGGTCATAGAAGTTTTCACGTAAATTTCCTTGCGCAGAGAAGAAGAGTCATGGCAGTTTTTATGAATTGTCACTGAGTGGTTATCCATTAAAAAAATAAAGTACGAATAACATGACTCCTGCAACATCGCAAACCGAGATACGTGTTGAGGAGGTACACCGTCAATATGTTTGTATTTGAGTCGGAACCATTTTAGAACGATACTGCTGTATATAAAATATCGTAGCAGCGTATAGCCACTTAGTAAGTGTTTTTGAAAGCTCAAATTAGTACTTTGAAAATGTTCTCATTTTTCAGCTACTTAAAAAACATGCGGAAACTTTCGAGTATATCGCAGGACTTCACATCGCAAGCCTTGGACAAAGCCGTTTTCTGGGTAGAACATGTGGCTCGCCACGGTGGAGCATCTCATCTGAGGCCATCTACTGCTGATGCGACACTATCCGAATACTTCTGCCTCGATCTCATATCCACGATCTTAGTTTTAACCAGCACTATTTGCTTCAGTATTCACTTTGTGTACAGGTTGATCGTAATTGTGTATCGGAAACCACATTTGAAATTAAAAGACTCCTAAAATACAGTCTATTGTTTAGAATCTGTGTATTTTATACTGTCAAGTTTTGATTTGGACTGTTTTTGCAATTCAGAGCTACAAGTTCAAGCTCATCAGTACAAACACTTGTGTGCACAGGGAAAGCAATGGTGCATACGTTGTTTCCAAACTGAGCCAGAAATTGTAGTTTCTAATTGCAATATGTAGTCCATTTTTGATCTTCCTGTCTTGTATCATAATGTTCATGATTAACAATTGGATGGCATTTTGAATTTTGGAACTACAACTTCTAGCTCAGGTAGGAAACAACCTATGTACCATTAGTTGCCCCATGCATATAAGTGTTTTAATGGATGAGCCAGAAATTTTAGTTCCTAATTTTGATCAGGGCTGGGAACCCGAATGGATTTTGGAACCGGTTCCGGTTTCGGTTCTCATGGTCCAATGATTCGGGTTCCGGTTCCGGTTCCGGTTCCGGGGGTCCGAAGATTCGGGTCCCGGTTCCGGAACCGGTTCCACTCGGGTTCCATGGTATTAGTATTCGCGAAAATAATTTAATTTTAAAGTAAATTACTCAAAATGAGAGAGAGTTCAAAACTGGGCAATTTTAATGAAGCAATCAAAAATGATTAATTTAGAAACAATAATTTGAATCAAGCAATTGAAAATGATATTACTTAAGCATACCGGAGCAACAGGATACTTTCCAGCAAGTCCGGCGCGATGCTGGCTCTGAGGGGGGATAGAATGAACGCTAGGCCCGAAAACAGTCTTTCAACACTAACCTGCGTGGCAGGAGCTGATAAAACCACCTGAGCAAGTTTGTACAATACGAAGTTGGGATGAGAATCCGCCTTCTTTGCCTTCCAATACAGCATGGGACTAGCATAATTCTTCAGGTCAACGGGTCTCTTTTGAGTGCTGTAATTTTGCAGGATGCGCTTAATTTCATCAGAGTTTTGAGGAGTCGTTTCTGCTGAAGACGCTGCTTCATCTGCTTGAGCTAGAAACCCTTCCAGGGGATCGGCAGACGTTTGGGGTAGTTCTTCTGCACATTCTGCTGCTGAACCAATCTCTTGAGAATCTTCGACCGGCGCCTCCAGTAGATTGATGGTTTGCCACGTAGTGAGTAGATGAGTAATAGCTTTTTCTTTCTGCTGCTTGCTCAGGAGGCCCTTATATCGCGGGTCCATCAACACCGAACTGCAGAAAATTGCATTTTCTAACAGAATATCTTGCCTTTTCTGCATTGCTTTATATAAGTCTTCCGAGATGTTGGTACCGACAGAAATAAGGTGAAGAACGCAATTGGTCCAAGCAGCGAGTAAGTCACCCATGAGTAAGTCCTCTGACTGGAGTTGCTTTGTTGCAATGTCCAACGGCTGAAGAGAGGTTAACATCTCTGTGATAATATTCCAAGTGCCCTCAGTCAAGTGCAGGTTAGGGAAGGAGCCTGCATACTCCACGCAAAATTCTCTCAGCGAGATTAGCCGTTGCAGCATAAGGTACGTGGAGGACCACCTCGTTGGGCAATCTATTATGGCCACATTCAACTTCTTTAGTTTCAGTAGAATCACGACGTTTGTATTTTTCAACTCTTTCACAGCTCGTCGGACTTTGGCTAAGACGTTGGAGTACTTTCCACTTTTCCACACATCAGCTATAGTTAATTGTAGGGTCGATCAAAATTTTTGATCGACCGTTTACGAGATTAGTTGGAAGACGACGGATTACACCGCGACCTGCACTGTTGTCAAATCATATCAAAATCAAACAATACCGCGCAGGTTTATTAATTAATACTGAACTTTCTGGGATACATAACAGAGCGTACCTGACCGGGGCATTCATGAAAAATCAGCGTTCCATCTTTCAGCGGTTGCGGAATTTTCTGTACATCGAGTGAATGCCAAAGTCGTAGCCGCGAAAGCCGGAGACGGTTTTTACAACTTTCACATTCATTCAACTTCGACGGAAAATTCCTCAGATCGTGAGCACCGGTGCCGAGGCGTGAATTATCGATTATTGATATTCCTCCATGTAAAGGCATGGTAAAGAATCGATTATTAAGGTGTTCGTTGCCAACACTCTGTTTGTCGATATTTTCCCATAGGTTGAAATGGTAAATCGATCGATATAAAGCACGCCACGCTACTGGTGGGCACTAATGACTGAATCTGTAATTTTTCAGAAAAGCGCAAGGCGCATTTCAGTTTAAACTCAACTAGGGGCTTATTGGGCTGCTTCGCAGCCCCTTATTTTTCATGTACACCTTTCCCTTTCACATGTCTTTTTTTTTTTATTTATTTACTTTCATTTAATTTTCTGGTCTGTCTTTGAATTGGTCCTAATTTTTTCTTTGAAGTAATAAATATAACATTTTTTTTCAAAAATTGTAAGTTTATTTTGTAAACTTTAAATTAAAATTATTTTTAAACCTTCATGCAAACTTCTTTTTAAGCTTTTACCTTTGTTTTCAAACTAAGTTTTAAGTATCGGTTTTTTTATCTTCTAAATACCTTACTTTGTTTTCCTTTTAATTGTTGCTTCTTCTTTTTCGATTTCTGCCCTGCTATTTTCCAATTTTTCCTTCAACTCTTCTCTTTTTCGTTCCTCCTTTTTTTCTTTTCTTTTTTTTCTTCTTTTTCTTCTTCATTGTCTGCTCCCTTTTTTTCTTCTTTATTTTCTGTTCTATCTTTATCTTCATCCAATTCTTCCGCTTTTTATTCTTCTTCTCCTTGTTCCTGTTCTTTCTTCTTTCCGTTTTCCGTATTTTCTGTTTCAGAAGTTTTTTTCCTTTTTCCAGTTTAAAATTAGACGTTTAAAAATTATTATTCTTTTAAAAAAATCATAACTGACGAAGTTCATATACTAATTTAAAGAAAAAAAAATCAGAAGAAAAAGGATGAAAAGAAAATGGAAATTAGTTATAAACATATTAATACACATTGAAAAGAAAATAACTAATAGCGTGAAACAATAAACATATTAATACACATTGAAAAGGAAATATAACTAACAGCGTGAAACGTTCTGATTGGAAATGAGAAAAAAAATTGGAGGTTATTGAGATAATATGACAAAGAGTAAAAAAAACGCGGGAAAAGAAACATGTAAGTTGATGGCAGTTGAGTGTTGGAGGTAACATCATTTAATGATGATTGTTGAATGAAAACAGCTGATAAAAAGACAGCAAACAGTAAAGTAAGATGCGTAGCAACAAAACTTTTCCGAAAAACAAAAAACCCCCACTTCCCCTCATCCAATTTATGAGTTTTTAGGGATTTAAAAATCGGGGACGAACCCCAGAAAATAATTTATAGTTTTCCCGAAGCATTGAGAACAACACCTTTCAAATGAACCAACGCCCCTCGCAATTAGTACAGTGGTTGATTCACAATTTCATTCTATTTTTCAAATTAAATATTAAGATAATAATTTACAATGGAAATGTTTAATCCATTTTTTATTGACTTTAAGAGAGCGGGAGTGCTCTGTTGTCAAGTTTCCGTTCTCGAACTTTGACGAACCTCCGGAATGGAGTACTACACAAGGTGCCAGCTTAAGAGCTCCCAGAGATGGACTGGATTCTACAATTAGGAACTACGATTTCTGACTCATCCATAAAAGAACCTATCTACGTAGGAAAACTAATAGCAGATATGTTCTTTTTATAATGAGCTAAAAACAATAGTTCCCAATGGAGAATTTCCATGCAATTTTTTTATTGCTTCATCTGAAAGTGCGTAAAGAGCTGATTTTGTAGTATTTTTTATAATCTTTTTCAGCCATGGGAAATAGTATAAACATATGTTTAAAAGTGAGAAAATGCGCCGCCTATAGTGATGTCATCTAGCGTCATTTCCCATTTAAACGAATGTATTTTTGCAGATTAGATCATTTTGTCACATCTCCACCAACAATTGTTCAATTTATGAATCAAAGGTATCCTCGTGTTCAGTTCACAAAGTAGTTTCCACTTACACACGAAATGCATCAACTTTCAGACACTTGCAAATTCTCCATTTAAAAATGCAATCCAAATGTGTTCTCTTCAAATTTTACGTGAGGTGGTTCACACAATGGGAAGCTCGAAAATCAGGTCTTAAAGAAGATACGAGAGTTGCAAGCTAATACGTCGTTCTCCAGACGAAAGAACGTACTTTCGTTCCAAGGTTGCAAAACCTACTGCGAGAAAAAAATTTCTCACAGAAAAATGACGGAAAAATGGATACTCAAAATTTCGATGATTTTTTATGGTTATCCCAAGAAAAATCTATGAAATATTCAGTATAAAGTGTTTGATAGTTTGCGAGTAATATTAAAATACTTATTTTGAGGAAGAATTCGGCAATGTTGCAATGGAGTTATATTTGTTCGTCAGGGAACGACAAATAATCATATCAGGATCAGACATCTTGCGAAATGCGTAGGCAGTCAGTCAGAAAAATCTCAATCGCAATGCTGAGATTTTTCCTATTTCTAAACCGGCAATCATCCAGTTATAAATAACTAGACAGTAGAAGTAGTAGGTAGTACGTACAAGTATTTTGAGAAAAAATTGTCATTACGGCATTAGTTTGTCCACACAAGAATGAGAGACACAGTTCGTATGATTTAGGTCCCATTAAATCAGTTTTAAGTGTCCATTTTAATATCTCACTTCAATGTTGAGCACTAAACTTCCGGCAACATATAACAACTTGTTGGTTACATTAAACATTATAAGGAAGAATCATATGACGCTATGGCAGGTTGCTTTCATTTACGACTTGTCTAGTGGCCAATTCTACAAAAAACTGTTGCGGAACGCTGTCAGGTTTCCACAGAAAGATAAGAGCATGTGGCGTTAAGAAAGGAAAACGTGAAACGTCGTTTGTGGAGAGCGAACTCTCGGAAGATAACTTTAAATTGGTTTGAGACGGATGAAACTTTCGATGATTTTTTTCCGTGAGAGGTCCGCATTTCACGATGTTACCAACATTAAGAAGTTGCTACTCATTAATAAATTCATCCTTTCATTTTTTTTCAAAGCAAATGGA